GCTAAAAATCAAAGAAGGTCACACTTAATTAAGTTTCACTTAATTTGAGAAGGAAAAAAATTAACTTTTTCTCTTATGGATGCAGAATTGATGCTGTTGGGATTCATATCTCTGCTTCTGACTGTGTTTCAAAGCAGTATTACAAAAATATGCATTCCTAAACACTTAACAAATCACTGGCTTCCCTGCAAGAAGCTGACTGAGGCAGGCCCAAAAGCCGCTGTGCATTTTGAGGGAGGACGCCACCTTCTTGCAGCAGCTTCTGATAATGCAATTTACTGTGATGCCAAGGTAATTTTTTACCAATCATGCTACATGAACATCAAGGTTGACATAAAGCTTGACATAATGCCACGTGGCATTCTATCATTGGTCAGTTTAAAATACAATAAACTTCATTCAATCATCTACTGGCACATGAAATTATGTCAAGCTGTCTGTCAAATTCTTCTGGCAAAGTAGCTTTATCCATTTTTCACTTCTTAAAGGCACTTAAGTTGATAAAGAGGGAACACGTTTTTTTGTTTAAATTTAGCATGCTTGACCCTAAGGCCTAATATCGTTGTAATTGAATATGATCGATCAGGGGAAGGCACCGTTATTATCTCTTAAAGCAGTGGATGATCTTCATATCTTCATATTCGTGTTAGCCGTGGCTCATGTAGTTTTCTCTGCTTTAACAATTCTCTTTGGAGGATTGAAGGTACATACTTATTTTAAGATTACTTCGAGCGTATCTTTCAACTTTGAGTGTTTTAGCTAAAATTTTCATACACAGATACGCCAATGGAGGTACTGGGAAGATTCTATTCAGAAAAGAGAATTTGATCCAGAACAAGGTAATCAACTATGCACAATCTTAAAGCTTCACTTTAATTTGTTATCTAATGTTTCATTTGGAATTTTTTACCCCAGATTCAAAAACTAAGGTTACACATGTCCACGAACATGCTTTCATCAGGTCGAGGTTTTCGGGTATTGGTAGGATTACTTTGTTCAGTTGGCTAGTAAGTACATAATCCCTATCAAAATATGAATAAATTAAAAGTTATGATGAATTAGACTTCAAGAAAATTACTTGTAGGATTCTGCTTGGTTATACATATTGTTGTGGTCACCTTTTCTTTCCTTTCTTTACATTCAGAAATCATTCTTCAAGCAATTCTACGGATCCGTCAATAAATCAGATTATACAACTCTGCGACTTGGTTTCGTGATGGTAAGCACTTAACTCCTCAATTCACTAATTGAAAGTAATAAGTTCTAGTTTTGTGTCTCAGTGGCAATTTTATTGTTTCTGATGAATTTGCATTTGGAGCAGACTCATTGTAGGGGAAATCCAAAGTTCAACTTCTATAAGTACATGACTCGTGCTCTCGAACATGATTTTAAGAAAGTTGTTGGAATAAGGTAAGCTACACAGTATTAAAATAATAATATTAATAATTCTACACTTCTAAAGCCAATTTCTACACTTCTCTGTATTCTGTAACTTCAAATGTCAATGGCAGTTGGTATCTATGGGCTTTCGTGTTTTTTTTCTTGTTGCTGAATGTTTACGGTAAGACATTCTCGACCTTTTTTTTTTCGATTTTCTTTGGCCTTGGTTGCTCATAAGTTGATAGATTTATATTTTTTGTGCAGGTTGGCATGCATATTTTTGGATCTCATTCTTTCCCCTGATTGTAAGTTAGCGCAATCACAACGGCATGACATGAAGTTGGACGATCAAATTTGAATGAGAAAATTTCTCAACACTTTGATATACTAATTTTATGCAGCTTTTGCTTGCTGTGGGCACAAAACTTGAGCATATTATCACCCAATTGGCTGAAGAAGTCGCTCAAAAGCATTCAGCTGTTGCTGGGGACTTGATAGTTAGGCCTTCTGATGATCATTTCTGGTTCCAAAAACCGCGTCTCGTCCTTATATTGATTCATGTAATTCTATTCCAGAATTCCTTTGAGATTGCTGTTTTCTTCTGGATGCTGGTAACCAAAAAAATCACATTAATTTGTCTTCCTTTCCTTTCCTTTACTTTTTCTTTTTCATTAATCAGAAGTTGTGCAGGTTCTATTTGGTTTTGACTCGTGCATCATGGGACAAGTTGGTTATATTGTTCCCAGACTTGTCATAGGGTATGTACACACGCACACACTAAAACATAGTAAAATTGGAGAAATCTTAAGCAGAAATGCAGAGATTGACAAATTTGAAGGCAAAATTGTGCAGGGTTTTTGTGCAGTTTCTTTGCAGTTACAGTACCCTACCACTGTACGCAATTGTCACGCAGGTAAAATATTTCCTTGATATTATATCACCAGTTTGAGTCTGATGATAAAAGATTTCCTCTCATTCCTTGTGGTGTTATTAATGAAGATGGGAAGTTCATTCAACGTAGCCATATTCGAGGATCATATAAAAGCGAGTTTGGTAGGATGGGCTCAAAAGGCTAAGAAGAATAGGGGACTGAGGAAAGTTTCTGCGGTCGGCGGTGGCAGTGGTGGCGGCTCTAACCAAGTGGTGCGTCAAGATTCTCCTGAAAGATCAGTTGAGATGCTAGAGAAGGAAGATGTAGAATCTGCAATGTATCAAGGCAAAGCACGAGAAATCCAGCCTGCACTCCCATAATCTCCTTGAGAGTTTGTTACGTTCTTGAATGTGTTTTGAGTTGTATAAAGCAACAAGTTCCAATTCCTAGTTTATTTTTAGCAAAATCTGAAGTCAGGAATCAAAGTTGGATAGTGTGCTGTTGTTAAATTTCGTTTCGCAAGTGTACGATCCGTAACAAGTAATAGTGGACCTGAGAGTCCGGTTTGTCGATTCCACAAGGACTATTTTCTAGCACTTAATTCAATCTTTCTTTAACTACTATTTGACTAACACAAATCAAAGGTTGTAAAATCTGGGTTTTAATCTAAATTCTAAATAATAAATGAATGTTCACACGATTGGTTGGAGAATCATATAATCAATGAATGACTTTACCAATTGATTACCTTTACATTTCAAATTAAAACTCAATTCTAATGTAGTGCTCGGTCGAATTCTCCTATTGTATTCAATTTACTCCTCTCGAGTTCTCATTGAGCCTATTCAACTAATTAAATTTCATATCTCTATGCAAATTTAGCTTAGTTAAACGAGTTCTATGTTTTAGGAATTCAATTATGATCGCAATAAATGGTGTAAGTATCTCTACTCATTATACCAATGTATTAGATTTTACTACATGGTCTAAATCCTAAACTCATATCTCTATTCGAGTTCTCATTGAGCCTATTCAACTAATTAAATTTCATATCTCTATGCAAATTCAACTTAGTTAAACGAGTTCTATGTTTTAGGAATTTAATTATGATCGCAATAAATGGTATAAGTATCTCTACCATTTATACCAATGTATTGGATTTTACTACATGGTCTAAATCCTAAACCCATATCTCTATTTGTAAAGAATTCACAAAAATCATCAAATTATTGATCGGATAATTTTGTATTCAATTTACCCCTCTCGAGTTGTCATTGAGCCTATTCAACTAATTAAATTTCATATCTCTATGCAAATTCAACTTAGTTAAACGAGTTCTATGTTTTAGGAATTCAATTATGATCGCAATAAATGGTATAAGTATCTCTACTCGTTATACCAATGTATTGGATTTTACTACATGGTCTAAATCCTAAACTCATATCTCTATTTGTAAAGAATTCACAAAAATCATCAAATTATTGATCGAATAATTTAATGCATTCAACTCATAGCAAAATCAACACATGGAAGAATTAAAAATTGAAAGTCTTAATAAGAAAATGTAAAAGATCCCAATTTGTTACATTATTCTCCCTAACAATGAATTTAGCTACTCATAATACAAGAAGAAAAGTAGGAATTTGTCTTAGAATACATCACCGAGTTTGTAATAAAGATGTAGAAGAAAAAGTAGAATTCTTGCACCAAGATCTCCTTCATCTTCCAATGAATACTTCTAGTCTTCAATTCTTGGTGTTAATCTTCTTGAATTTCTTTTTTGAATCTCCCTTCTTGTTGTCTTTACTCCAATATGTTCAAGAACCTTTCAAAAGTATGAGGAAGATGTATTTATAGGCGTCCCTCCTTTTTATGTAGAAGTAGGATTTTTATAGATTTAAAAACAGCCCAAAAAACTCGCCCTAAATCGTCAATCGCAGCGCCTAGGTGCTATAAGACAGCGCCTAAGCACTGGTTATAGCGCCTGGGTGCTATGTCTTCAGAGCCTAGACGCTAGCGCTATGGTAGCGCCTGGACGCTGTCTCTCGGGTCCAAATTTCATCTTTTTTTCAATTTTGTGGCGCGTAGGCGCTATGAATGCAGCGCTTAAGCGTCGTCTTTCTGCCCCAATTCCGTGTTTTTGGCCTCTTCGTCCACTTTAATACTCTTTTCACATCGCTTTTCATAATCTTCAAAACAACACTAACAAACACATCAAAAACGTTCTATACTCACAAGATCTAACAAAAATCAAGCTAAAATTGCGCAAAAATCATGAGTGTAACAAACTCATCATGTACAGTAGTAGATAGTCAGGAATCAAGATATGTTTTATGAATCATGAAATTGAGAAAGTTTGTTGTGTTTGAATTTATAAATGAAAATTGAAGTCATCGTTTGGACTTTTTGTGAAATAAATAAAATCTTTTAAACAATTTTTGCCTATTAGTTCGAAATCGCGTGAGCGTCACGTGGTCATTATTCAAACAAACATTCTCCATTAGTTTGGAACGATTGTCACACTTAAAAAGTTACAGACACGAATGCAATAAATGATAGGTCAGAGACATATATACCTCACTTTTAGAAGGTTAAAGATACTCAGCGAATTTTAATTTTATCTTAATGCCAAGTTTATATTACTTTGCCATATATGGTGTATTTCAATCAACTAAACGGTCACGCGAAATTTAATTAATAGAAGATTTTGCCAACTTGTAGTTACAAGCAGTTTCCCAACTTTGTCCTGTAAATTACCCGTCCGTGCATTAATATTATTTTCAGAAAAACCATTATAAAGGACTTGAACGCCCTCCTTATGTTGCTACTACAAACCAGCTCGAGTACGAATAGAACGACTGACTGACAAAGGAAAACAGTGGACACAGCGTATAGAAGATTCGATTAAGATAACATAAAATTCTTCGATACAGTCATTTAGCATATATCAATCCAAGACCCTGAAACCTTCCGTTAATAATCATCACCTCTGGATACCACTTCTTTGCAAGTTGGTCGAAGGAGAATTGTATGCTCAAACTGCGATACATAGCTTCCCTTAATGTCACAGAGAGGAGGACACGGCTGCAACAAATTAAACAAAACGTTCTGTTAATTTTTATTCAATTTGGAGACCAGTATTGTAATAGTCGATACAACAAAAAAAGTTTCCACATTCTAACAGTCCATAGTATACCATTTACCAGCTTCAGCAAAATTCAAACGTGTAGCACAATATAATGGCCAATAAAAAACATAAGTTTCAAGAATTTTCATCAAGTGGTGTGGAGCACCACTTGAAAAGGAGGGTGGCACAACAATGCATTTTCAGTAAAAGAATAGTGCTTGGAGTGGATAAGGAGAGGATAATGATGTGGAGCATTGATAGAACGCTCCCTACAAGTTGAGAAAGCTCATGACAGCCGAATTTATGCAGAAATCAAGAACATAGGTTCAAGCATAGATAACAAATTTTGATTGTTCCCTGGTTTAGACTGGTTTCATTCTCTTAGCTATCTAATTAATATGAAGTACTTCTGATTGCTGACATTTAGAAGCAATCAAGCATCAAGCAACTATTAATGTACGTGTATGCATTGTGTGGTAAAAAAACTTAACAATCGTCCAGATGGACTTGGTTCCTCGCGAAGTCACAGACTAAAATGTGAGGACACATACCTCGACGATACCAGCATCACACAAGTTCTTTAGTGCCATCAGATATTTAGTTTCTCCAAGGCGGTCAAGATAACGTCTGCAGAAAGCCAATGTAGAGAAATTCTTATTAATTGTTGCCAATAGTTGTTTTGCTCTAGGTAACCGCAGTGGAACGTGACCAGCATCAAAATTCTTCATATAATGGCTGCATTCAAGATCTTCTCTGACATATCCCTTCCCTGCAAGCAACGAAAGGCAGGCAAAAAAGTTTGTACTTAGTTCATCCGGCCTACCATGTCTATCAGATTCAACCAAATATATCCCACCCTTCAAGGAAAGAAGAGGTTACCTGTGGATCCAAAAGTTTCGATTGCATAAAATTCTCCCTCTTCCATTTTTGTTTGCTCTCCTCCTTTCACAATGGGAACAGATTTCTCAGCATGGATTTGATATCGTCCAAGGCTATGGCCATTTAAATTTCTGATACTTTTAACTGCCAGAACAGACAATTAGTTGAGCTTGCTAGTTGATCATATGAAGGCCATAAAAAGTTAGAAACGTTTCTAAATCCTGTAACTGAATATTTGCTATGTTATCGGGACCATAAAAGATCGGGGAAGTATCACATGTTTTTGTTTTTCAGTCAGCAATTAAAATTTTTTCCTACATATGGTTATCAATTTGTTTCTTACAAGCTTTGAAAATATAATAACCAAGAAGACCTCCATTTTTGGCACAGTGAACATTTATTGATCTCCAAATATCTAAATATAGAACTTAATCCAGCTTTAATTTGTCTAATAATTTCAACAGATGAACACCATCTGCCACAAAAACGCTTATGAAAGATCGTCCTGAAATCCAAACGATATGACATTTTAGTAAGCAGAAAATTTCAATTTCGTAGTTGATAACAGAGACAAAGGAATAGTGTGCGCGCGCACACAAATATATCTTACATGCAATAAAATCAAGTTGAACAACTATGACATCATTCATCGATTACATCCCCCCTTTCCAAGAGAGGAAAAATGCATGCACCAGCATTGTGCGCAAAACATCAGGATAACAAACCAGAAATGCATCTCATACAAGCTACCTAATTTTAGCCAAGGGCTGTACCTTGGAACACCTTTCCGTTGATTTCAACCTCATATGACTCCATGACCTCTTGAATTGCAGACCCAACATCGCCTAGGCGAACATCAATCCCAGCTTCCTGTTTTTCGAAACAAAATTTCATCAATTGCTCCTACTTTTTCACTGGAAGTCTCAGTGAGGTAATTTCACACTTGGTCAAAATTTTGGTTCTTCTAAGTTGTACATTTGAATAAAGTTAGTGAACCACCTTGATTCCTGTATTGGTAGCTTCACGAGAGGCCTCAAGCAGTGGATTAAACATGGGATTGAATGCCACAGTAAATGCACAATCCACAATATGCCCTGCAAATGAAGTTTAGCAAATATTTGAGACAATCCAACAATAGAAACAAGAAAATAAAAATATGGTCTCATAAAAGGCTTCCAAAAACCTAGAGAATGTAACTAAATGAGTAGCGATATTACCATCAATATGAGTTCCAAAGTCCAGTTTCATCACATCGTCATACTGAAGGACGGTTTTATCCCCAGAATTCGGGGTCCAATGGGCAGCAACCCTGCAATAAAGAACAGGCAGGAAGCAGGCAGATGAGTAGAATTTCAAAGGGAGTAAAGAATGGAATAGAAAAGAATCTCAAAACATCAAAAATCAAAATAGTGTATATTGGTTTCAAATCTAGTTATCCAAAATTTCCAAAATGAAGTGAGCAGGTCATGCGGCAATTAAGAAATACCAGTTCAAGGAGCACCCTGTAGGAAATGCAATACCAGCTTGCAGGCCATTCTCTGATATCAATTTACGAACTGTATTTTCCAAGGTCTCACACAGGTCAGTCATCAATATTCCAGGCTTCAAAATTTGCTTGATGTACTTCCGTACCTGACAAAAACATACATAATTTAACAAACCACAACGCCATACCAGAATGAATTTCTCAAACAAGAGTACTATATGCCAATGTACACACGAGGATACTCGAGGATGTAATACTAAACGACAACCTGACGATGGACCTCTGCTGCTTGGCGAACAGAATTATAGATTGGTTTTTCCAGTCGCTCCAATTCCCTCTTTTCCTCAGATGTAGTCCTCCACAAGTTACTACGTTAAACCATATTTGATATAATAACCATTTAGATCCAGCAATACTAGAAAAGAAAGAGATCATACGGACCATAAACTAAGAAATCTTGTGAATTCAAAATAAAATATCAGATGTAATTGCACTCAAATGGTGTATGACACCATATCGAACTGAAAAGACCAGAAAGCCAACAAAGTATTAAGTTTCCAAAACATATATCATGACATATAAAGCCTTTCATGTATATTAACACCAATAAACAGCATAAACAAGAGACACCACATCTAAATTTATCAAACTGGGGTCTCCGACATCCCAGTCTTGTTGAAGCAACTATGAGAAAAGTGGAGACTGGTCACCTCATTCACAGTTCTTCCAACTTGACCAGTCTAAAAGACCTTCTCTCAATGACCGGAACTTTGAAAAGGAGTTGCTACCAGAGCAAAAGCCCCTCGTATTCATTGTCCAGATCCTGTTTCTCTTCATACAAAATACCCCAGATGAACACAGCTGTTTTATCTCCCCGAAATCCACAACCTCAATGCCTCCATCTAAAAAGAATATCAATACTATCTGAATTTGAAACAGGAAATAAAAGTCCCACTAGTTTATCTGCAATGCATGTCGTCTTTCATTCACTTTAGGCAACCTACCTAAGACTAGCACTCAAGTAAACACAACGTACTTCTTTCAGAAAACAGGAAATTCTGAGTCATTAGAAGAGGGGCAACTCTCGAAACTTGCCAATTTACTCTTTTCTTTCATACTGTTCATTTCATTCAGTATCAATTAAATTCTTCTTCAATTCCATTATTTTACTTATAATTCAGCTTTCTATTAACTCGAATTGCAATTGTGTGCTGCTAATTCATTGGGCTTGAGCCAATCTTACCATTTGGTATCAGAGCCGGTCGAATTTCTGGGAAACGGATGCCAGTCACGAGAATGGACGTCAGAATTGAAGCATTGGAGAAATCCGTACCTTCCTTGAGTGCGAGCATGGTCGAATTGAAAGGAGATGTGGAACATTTGAATAATCAAGTGGGACTGGAACTCGGGAAGATGAACCAGAGGCTCGAAGCGAGCCTCGCGCTGGGTAGAAGGGAGTTGAACGACGGGTTACGGCTAATAGAGAAGATGTTGAAGGGCTCGAAATTAAATTCCTCCAGCAGTCCAGGAGAAGAGAGTGGGAGGATGTCGACCACTTCTGTCGAGGAGCAGCCGGAAGTGGAAAACGTGAATTCCGAGAAGATGGCGGTTGCCTCTGTTGAAGGTAACTATCGAAAACTTGAATTGCCACTGTTCAATGGAGTCGATCCTGACTCCTGGATATTTAGAGCTGAGAGGTACTTCCGAATGAACAAGCTCGATGATGTTGAGCGAGCTGTGGCTGCGGGTGTATGTATGGAAGGAGCAGCGCTATCCTGGTTTCAATGGGAGGATGGACGGCGACCCATGCACAACTGGACTGAACTTAAACGGCGACTACTGGAGAGGTTTCGAGATACCCAGTATGGAACCTTACACCAAAGGTTCCTGGCTATCAAGCAAGCAGGAACGGTAGCTGAGTTCAGGGAGCGATTTGAAGTCATGGCAGCACCCCTGAAAAATGTTAGTAACGATGTACTGGAAGGAGTTTTCATTAATGGGTTGGACGAAGAAGTGCAGGCTGAAGTACTGATGGCGAATCCGGTGGGACTATCCCAGATTATGGACTTGGCCCAGCGGGTTGAAGATAGGAACAACCGAATCAACAAGGGAAGGGAGAAGGAGCGACCGCGATTTAGGAATGTGATGAATCCTAATACGGTTCGAGGGGAACAGAGAACTCTTCCCTGGAATGTGACGAGGGGAGTTAATTCACCTGATAAGGTGGGCACGAATCTGCCGAACACCACTTTTGGGTTTAAAAAGCTGACCCAGGCTGAAATCCAAGCTAAGAAGGAGAAGGGATTGTGCTTCCGATGTGACGGGAAGTACACCGTTGGACACCAGTGCCGTAACAAGGAATTACATGTGCTGTTGGTAGACGACGACATGGAAAATTATGAGTTGGAAGGAGAAATACCGGAAGGGACAGCTGACTGTAACGAACTGGAAGGTGTGGAGTTGTCNCTTCGCCTAAGACTATGAAGGTGAAGGGGACTGTGGAAGGGCAAGCTGTAGTGGTATTGATTGACTCTGGAGCTACACATAACCTCATGTCCTGGGAGCTGATTAGAAAGCTCAATCTTCCGATCACGGAGACCAACGGATATAAGGTGCAAGTAGGTACTGGCATGTCGGTGCAGGGGAAAGGAAAATGCAAGGGGGTGGTATTATACATGCAATCAGTGTTAGTTGTGGATGATTTCTTACCTATAGAGTTGGGCAGCTCTGATATAATTCTGGGAATGCAATGGCTTAGCACCTTGGGAACGGTTCAAGTTAACTGGAAGTCGTTGGAGATGAAAATATCCTTGGGCAGTACCACTGTAACTTTGAAAGGAGAAGAAGGGCTGAGCAAATCATTGGTTTCTTTAAAATCAATGATTAAAACATTGCAGAAAGAAGGGGAAGGTGTGGTGGTGGAATTATGTTCGGTGCAAGTAAATGGACCATCGGCTGAAATTGATATTCCCCAACCTGTACAGGAGATAATTGCACAGTACGGGGCAGTTTTTGTATTACCAACGGGGCTACCTCCTCTGCGAGGTCACGAGCATGCCATCACATTGAAGACAGGTAGCGAGCCCATTAGTGTGAGGCCATATAGATACCCCCATGCACAAAAAGCAGAAATTGAGAAGTTGGTTACGGAAATTATGGAAGCAGGTATTATTCAGACTAGTATTAGCCCTTTTTCTAGTCCTGTATTGCTAGTGAAGAAGAAGGATGGTGGGTGGAGATTTTGTGTGGATTATCGAGCCCTAAATCGAGCCACTATTCCGGATCGCTTCCCAATTCCAGTCATTGACGAGTTATTAGATGAATTACATGGGGCCACCATTTTTTCCAAACTGGATTTGAAATCGGGCTATCATCAGATACGTCTTAAAGCTGGGGATGAATACAAATCAGCCTTTCGGACTCACGAGGGGCACTATGAATTCTTAGTAATGCCGTTCGGGTTGACCAATGCCCCGGCAACATTCCAATCCTTGATAAATAAAGTGTTTAAGGGATTGTTACGGAAGTGCATGTTGGTCTTTTTTGATGATATCCTAGTTTACAGCAGTACATTGGAAGAGCACTGTGAGCATTTAAGGATGGTGTTTGATATCTTAAAGGAACAGAAACTATAAGCCAACCGGAAGAAATGTGAGTTCGGTCGTGCCACTCTAGAATATCTGGGACATTTAATCAGTTCGCAAGGAGTTGAGGCAGATCCGAAGAAAATTCAGGCTATGCAGTTGTGGCCGTTACCCAAGAACCTTAAAGAACTAAGGGGGTTCTTGGGATTGACGGGGTATTATCGGAGGTTCGTGGAGGGGTATGGGAAAATGGCTGAGCCACTTACAAAACAGTTGAAGAAGGACAGTTTTCAGTGGGATCAGGGTGCAGAATTAGCCTTTCAGAGGTTGAAGGAAGCTATGATGAAGGTCCCGATTTTGGCATTGCCAGATTTTTCCTTGCCATTTGTGGTGGAGACTGATGCTTCAGGGGTGGGAATAGGGGTAGTACTCTCGCAGCAGCAGAGACCTATTGCGTTTTTCAGCCAAGCCTTATCTGCCCGAGCTCAACTTAAATCCATTTATGAGAGAGAACTTATGGCTATAGTACGAGCAATTCAGAAATGGAGACATTACCTACTGGGGAGGCACTTTATTGTGCGCACTGATCAAAAAAGTCTGAAGTTTCTGTTAGAACAACGGCTGGTTTGTGTTGAGCATCAAAAGTGGGTCACTAAGTTGTTGGGGTATGATTTTGAGATCCAATATAGGCCTGGTCTTGAGAACAAGGCGGCCGATGCCTTGTCCAGAATTCCAGTGGCAGCTGAACTATCTGTAGTGACAGTATCAAAAGTGCTGGATTTGAGTGACTTGCAGAAACAAATAAAAGCAGATGAAAGGCTAGCGGGTATTCGGGATTCACTCCTCAAGGATCCCTTATCCATTGAAGATTGGTCAGTAACTGATGGGTGTCTCCTATACAAACGGCGGCTGGTACTACCCAGGGGTTCAGATTTGGTTCCCAGAATACTACAAGAATTCCACTGCAGTGCCTTGGGTGGTCATTCAGGAGTTTTAAAAACTTACAAACGGATTGCTGGGGAGTTATTTTGGCCAGGGATGAAGAAAGATATTCAAAAGTTTGTTGAAGCTTGTTCGGTTTGCCAACAAAACAAATACCTGACCTTATCTCCTGCTGGGTTATTACAACCGTTACCTGTACCGGAGGCAATTTGGGAGGACATATCAATGGATTTTATTGAAGGATTACCCAAGTCTCGGGGATTGGATACGGTCTTAGTGGTTGTGGATCGCCTGAGCAAGTATGCTCATTTTTTGACAATGAAACATCCTTTCACTGCCAAGACAGTTGCTGAACTATTTATTCACGGGGTGGTCAAACTTCACGGGTTTCCTCGCTCTATTGTGTCGGATAGGGACAAGGTATTCCTCAGCTTGTTTTGGACCGAGCTTTTCCGCCTCCAGGGCACTCATCTGAGGAGAAGCACGGCATATCACCCACAAACAGACGGGCAAATGGAGGTGGTGAATCGTTGTTTGGAGACTTATCTCAGGTGTTTTGCGAACAGCCATCCTCGCTCGTGGTCTGACTGGATTCCATGGGCTGAATTCTGGTATAACTCATCCTTCCACACTTCCACATTATGGGAGGGATCCTCCACCGGTCATACGTTATGGGACGCAGCACACACCGGTGGCAGACCTAGATCAACAGCTCCAGCTGCGAGATGAAATGATTAGTGCCTTGAAGTTACAATTGGAAAAGGCTCAAAACCGGATGAAAGAAGTAGCAGACACCAGAAGAAGGGAGGTTCAGTTTCAGGTGGGAGATCGAGTTTACCTTAAACTCCAGCCATACCGACAGAGGTCCTTGGCCAAGCATGCTAATGAGAAGCTATCATCGCGATTTTTTGGGCCCTATGTCATTGTTCAGAAAATAGGTGCAGTGGCTTATAAGCTCCAGCTTCCAGAAGGCACAAACATCCACCCAGTGTTCCATGTTTCTCAACTACGGAAGGCAGTGGGATCTACCACTTCCATCCAGCCACTCCCCACTCTTCTCAGCCCTGATTTAGAGTGGAAAGTGAAACCTGCTGGTGTGTTGGGCATCAGGCCAGCAAGTGATCTTGACAATACCGGGCCAGAGGTACTGATTCAGTGGGAGGATCTTCCCCCTTTTGAGGCATCATGGGAGCCATTTGAGTTGATCAATTCTCAGTTTCCTGAATTCCACCTTGGGGATAAGGTGCTTTCGATGGCGGGGGATATTGATAAACCTCCTATACAGTTCACTTACAAGAGGCGTCACAAGAATTTGGTGTAAAAGGAATATTAGTTGTTAGATTGGCTGAAAATAAATCACTTATGCTGATGTCACATTTACTTATAAATACCAGTAGTAGAGTCTAGAAGATCATTCAGAAAACAGGAAATTCTGAGTCATTAGGAGAGGGGCAACTCTCGAAACTTGCCAATTTACTCTTTTCTTTCATACTGTTCATTTCATTTAGTATCAATTAAATTCTTCTTCAATTCCATTATTTTACTTACAATTCAACTTTCTATTAACTCGAATTGCAATTGTGTGCTGCTAATTCATTGGGCTTGAGCAGATCTTACCTATTAGCCGTAACCCGTCGTTCAACTCCCTTCTACGCAGCGCGAGGCTCGCTTCGAGCCTCTGGTTCATCTTCCCGAGTTCCAGTCCCACTTGATTATTCAAATGTTCCACATCTCCTTTCAATTCGACCATGCTCGCACTCAAGGAAGGTACGAATTTCTCCAATGCTTCAATTATGACGTCCATTCTCGTGACTGGCATCCGTTTCCCAGAAATTCGACCGGCTCTGATACCAAATGGTAAGATCTGCTCAAGCCCAATGAATTAGCAGCACACAATTGCAATTCGAGTTAATAGAAAGCTGAATTGTAAGTAAAATAATGGAATTGAAGAAGAATTTAATTGATGCTGAATGAAATGAACAGTATGAAAGAAAAGAGTAAATTGGCAAGTTTCGAGAGTTGCCCCTCTCCTAATGACTCAGAATTTCCTGTTTTCTGAATGATCTTCTAGACTCTACTACTGGTATTTATAAGTAAATGTGACATCAGCATAACTGATTTATTTTCAGCCAATCTAACAACTAATATTCCCTTTACACCAAATTCTTGTGACGCCTCTTGTAAGTGAACCGTATAGAAGGTTTATCACCTACCTAAGACTAGCACTCAAGTAAACACAATGTACTTCTTTCAGAAACTAATGAATGTATCATATCCCCATTCAACCTGTCATGTGACAAGAAAAAGTTAAATGAACGGACTCATCTGCATATTTTTGAATTTCACCCTCTGGAAACTCGCCGGATGGGAAAAGTTCGATCACGGGTATAGATGGAGGATCAGTTTGCTGAGGTAGTTCTTTTTTCTTCCTGCAGATCAGAATAGACAGATGCAAGTT